AAATTAATTTAGTCAAAAATTATCTTATTAAGGTTTTTTGTTTTGTTTTGTTTTGTTTTTAGTTTTTGCTATAGGATCCACCTGCTTGCTGGAGACAGAGACAGAAAGAAAGTGAGAAATCACCCTACAGGGAGATGGCCAACCTGTAATCTTTTCTCCTCTAGTCTCCTCTCAGGATTTAAGGTATGCATGCAAGTACAAGTGTCAATCAAGGGGGATCCAGCTGCCTTAACCACTGTGCCAGGAGCTGGCCCTTTGTAAGGTTTTCCCCGGTCGGGGTCGTTTGATCCAGCTACTTTAATCCCTCATCTGAAATTAAGGGCACACAGCATGTGTTTAGGATCTAGATTCCCCTGGATTTCTAACTCTCCAACCACCCATGACAGTGCACCCTCTTTTGATTACCTGTTCCTTGAGCCTTATCTGTCTAGATAACTGGAAGTTATCTCAGTTTGTTTCCTACCTAGTACCCAGAGGGCCTTACACCTATAGTAGGTTCTCAAAACATTAAAATGTTTGTCTGTCTTGACTCTTGGGAGCTCTGTTGAATTTTTCCTGCTTCCAAGATATTTCTCTCTCTCAAATCCAGAGTCAAAGTCCACCCCTTGCTCACCCAGTGAGGAGTCTAGGTGAGCTATCTTCATTCTAGGACTGGAATGAAACTATATCACCAGCCCATGTGTGCCAAAACAATTTGGTCAGTGGCTAAAAGCAGGGGTGTACATTTTATTTCACTTCTATACTTAACCTTGATCCTCATTCTTCTTCCTTTTTTTTTTTTTTTGAGAGGGGTTTTGCTATAGGGTATGTGTGTGCGCCAGAAAGAGAGAGAGACAGAAAGCGAGAAATCACCCCTTGGGAGGATGGCCACACCATAATCCCTTCTCCTCCATTCTCTTCTGGGGATCTTGGGCACACATGCCTGGTGTAAGTGTAAGCCTCCAGGTCTGGGACTCAAACCGCAGTCAACTACATGGGAGTCCAGCGACGTAGCTATTACACTATCTGCTGGCCCCTTGATCATCATTCTTAAGAGACAAAAATCTCATATCTTGTATGTTAATTTACTTTAATTAATAAGAAGAACCCTCTATTTCTCCAGACAGGACATAAAGTCTTCACTGCTGGAGGACAGGAGACTCTCAGGATCAGCCTCAAGCCATCCTCCTAAGGAACAGCCCAAGAGTACATCCTTCCCCTCTAAGGGTCCACCCATGTATCACCCTCTCCCCTTTATCATCCACCCCACCCCCACGTTCCACCTCTTCCATCTCCTGCAGCCCTCACTTGGCTTCTCTCTGCAGCAAGTTCTTCTCCTTCATTCTTGCATTCGTGAGCACCTTACCATGACCAGAGTCTAGTGACAGAAGTGAACAGCCAGGATTCTCCCTGCTCTGCAAAGGGAACGCAAGTAGAAAACCTCCAACTGTAATGTATGACAGAATGAAACCAAAGCCGTGGAGCTGACTCTATGGCTGCTCAAGAGAAACGATGCCACATGGCGACTGTGGTTCAAATCCCAGACTCAGTCAGCCTGAGACACGTTGGGCACTTCCCTAAGTACCTAGAACCCAGCTAGAGGACTGGAGGAAGGGGACCACATATGGCAGACCCTGTGAAGGGTGCTTCCCCTCTCTATCACACTCACACACACAAATGCACACACGCTCTATCATGAATTAAAAGAATCTAATGCTGTGAAAGTTTCGGGTGCAATCATGTGGACACACAGAGGGGAGAAAAGAAAACAGAAGAAGCTTGAAAAAAGAAGTAGCATTTAAGTCAAAAGGGGTCAAATGGAGAAAAGTCAGGCAGTGTTCAGGTTAAAGAGACTTAGTGTGAACAGTCAGGACAGAGGAATAGAGGTCAAGTCTTAGGGAATGAAAGAATGGAGAAGATGGGGCTGTGGTAGGCTGTGTGGATAGGATCAGGAACACTCAGTAGCCAATACAGAGTTGTAAAAGGCTTTTGAAACGTTCCTGTCTAGATCCAGAAAGAGAGGAGGAACAGGGAAATTTTTAGAAGCCCTCTAAAGTAATCCACAGACCAGGTGACAAAGGACTAAGAATTGAAGAGGAAAGTTGGTGAAAATGAATCCAGGGTTCCCAAGCAGAATAACCAGAGGGTACTGGAGCCACTGATAAACCAACAGGAGAGCAAGTTCTATTTCTGGACACGCAGGCCGGGCACTGCAAGCATCCATGGGTGTTCCCAAGTCAAGAGCATGGTGCTCTGGAGCTGATGGCATGACTTCAATTTCCAGCTCTTATAGAAAAGCTAGTGAATTTGGAGGACGCTACTCCGTGCTTCAGTTCCTCACCAGTAAAGCGAGGATGCAGATAAAAACCTCAACCTACCTCATGGGGGTTGCTGTGAATGTTAATGTGCTGATATATAGAGAGAGTTTAGGACAGCGGTAGGGACACAGTAGGTTCTCTGGGTTTGTTCTTAAATTCCATAGTGTCAGCTGACAAAAGTGAGCAAGCAACCTACACTCTCACCCTAACGCCACAAAACACTGGGTTTGTCCAATCGATGGGCCAGGGGCTGGGCAGGTGAACCTACATCCTCTATGCACTCACAACTACAATCTAGAACAGGTAAGATGTCATTCCTCATGAGGGAATTTCAGAAGAGTCCCTAGCAAGGCCTTTTCAAAAGATTCTAAAATTAAATTCAAGCTTCATATTTCTCTCCTAATTCTTATTTCCAGCAGCACTCAAATAGATGCTTCCGAGATATATGCTCTAATTCTCTTCCTCCTTCTCATCTAATTGTAGCTGGAATCAAACGGTTTTGCTCTCCCAAGCCCGGAGTCCAAATCCCGAATTCTGCCACCTAGGGAGTTAAAGTCCTGACTCCACTCTGCCCCCACTGGTGACTTAGAGGAAATGCACCCAGGTGACCTCAGGCTGAAAAGTGGCTCCAAGTGTATAAAAAGAAGTCTACAGAAAAGACGACTTTACGTAGTTGTAACTTAATCATCACAGCTCTATTAAATAGATAAAGCTGTGTTATCATCTGTGTTTAAAAATCCTAACAGGCTTAGGATCCTGTGGTTAATAAACCACAAGATAGGGACTAGAATTCATTTCCAGACGCCTTGTTTAATTCTGTTTCCTCTTTGGGACCAGAGATAACCCACATTCCAGATCCCAAGTGTGGTACTGAGTGTTCTAACCCGTCGGTTCTAGTCCTAGAGTCATCCTCTGGACTGGGGAAGAATAACTTGTTAAAGAATTCAGAAGTCCCCAGGCGATACCCACTGAGAAGACCTGCCTGGGATTGATGGTCACTTCCTACTTTAGGACTTGCCAAAAGATAGCCTTCTCCAAGAGTTAATTCTCATCTTGGACAGAGAAGCCCAGAGAAGTTGCCAAGGGCCTGACAGCTCAAACGCACGTTTTAAAATAAACTGAATTGAAGTGCAGAGCCGCAACCCAGGACGTTTACAAACATCGGAAAACTCAACTAAACCAGCCGCCCTCTGCTCCCCCCTCCAGTCTGAGGCTGCGTAACGTCAGGCTTTCTTTGAGGTTCAACTGCAAGGGCTCTGGAAACATCAAGACGGTAAACCATCGCCCTCTTTGGGGCCCTCGGGACCGCCAAAACGGGAACAGGAGTAAATCGCCCTGCAGAAAGATAACGTCAAGATATTTCCCCCAAAATGTGCTCTCACCAGACGCTGAAATTTCAAGTATGTAATTGAGCAACGCTGTTATTGCCTCACAGCTTTAAAAAAAAAAAAAAAAACTATGCCTCCCCACCTCATTCCCCCCCACACACACACACTCTAGCCAAAACTCTAGGCCAGGAGCCAATCCCTTAATCCGGGGCATTTCAGAAACTCAGTTCCGACAGCGCCCCGGGCTGGGCCCGGCCGGGTCCCCACCCCCATGTCCCGAGGCTCTTTCTTATGTAAATGACCTGGCCGGCGTGTGAGCTCTGGCGTGCCCGGCACGGGAGCGCGAGGTGGGCAGACTGGTCGGGGCTTTGGGCATGGAAAACCTCGTTTTCAGAACAAAACTCGCAAGGAATCTAAGAAAGAGGAGCTGGTCCTCTCTGAGTAACTTTTAGGAGCAAACCAAAAAGTAACATCCCAAATCCGTCTCCATTCGGAGGCAGATCCGGGGGACTCGAGACTGGGCAGTCCAGAAGCAGATCGCCGCAAAAGCGGGGCGGGGGGATGTACGCCCCTTCCCGAGCCTCAGTTCCGGCGCCTCAGTTCCGGGAAGGGGGCGCGGCAGGCTGAGTTCCTCTACCCCCTCCCCTGCTCCTTTCCGAGTCGGCTTCTCCGAAAGCCCACCTCCGCAGGGGCCGCGGGGAACCACAGGGGGAAACCTTCCAGCGTGTCCTAAACGCTGCCCCCAAGCGCCGGAGGCCCCAGCAGCCCCACGCGGCTCTGAGCCTCCTCCCCCAGCCACTATTCTCCCCACGTGCTGTCGCCGGAACTCGGGCTGCTGAAAAGGGGCTCCTCCCACGTGGCCCAGCAGTCTCCGACTACGTGCGCTGCGACCCGCCCCTCCGGAGAGAAAGGGGAGGAAAGGTGGGGAGGTGGGAGAGCGAGAGCGCGCTCCGGACCGCAGGGAGGGAACGAGCCCCGGCGCCCCGCACGCGCGCACACACACGCCGGCCAGTGCCTAGCGGACGTGGCTCCTAGCGCGCAGGAGTTACCCCACTGTCCAGACTTTCTCCGCGTCTGTGGACCCGAATCGCAAAGAAGCGGGTCCCTGTAGGGTTCCGAAAGAGAGTCGCCGAGACTAAGAAACTCTGTCCAAAGCGAGCCAGCCGCCTCCGTCTGCGCTGCCTTAACTTCTGCACTTGGT